AATCAGATTAAATTAGAAAAGAAAACGAAGTTCCTATATACATGTATATAAAAGTTATTATAAAACGAAATGTTGTGTGCGGAATAGAGGAATAGCGGAATAGAGGAATAGCGGAACAGAGGAATAGCGGAATAGCGACCGACCGACCGGAATACATTTTGACATGCTCCCTTAGTTTCTTCCTGTTCAGTACTATTACTCAACTGCTTAATATAAATGAACAAAAATTTTGCGCCTCTGGTTTTCTCCACCTGAAAAGAAATTGTCCGTACGATGTTTTTTAAGGTGGACAGGCTAGTGAACCAGCTGAATCTAGTGATTGTCTGCAACAATCTTACAATCTTCTTGAAAAAATCAACATCTCTACTCAGAATTCAATGCGAAATATAAGTAAAGAATCAGCTACATTCCTTTGGTTTCAGTTATTTAAAGATGTCATTGTGAAATTGAAACCAACAGAAGATGCACGGTTGGATTTCATAGAAGAAATCAGAAACTACTATCGGGATGAAGTGGATAGACGAAAACTGGAAACACTTCTAGAAGAATTTGGAATGGTATGAGGCAAGAAACGTCATCTGGTGGTATATTAGACAAGTATCTCTTTCGAATATTGTCAACAAAGCATTGAGAACATACGATTTGGACATGCCATATAAACTTCGTTATTTTATTAACTTGTACAAAACGTTGTCTCCCTCACATTCAGCATTGCAGCAGCAACTTCCAATGAACAGTTTTCAAAATCTACCGTGGGGTTGTTTTACCATTATGGAGTTTCAGTAAACTGAAACATACAATTAAAACTTCTCAGCAGCGTACATTTGTCTCTACCTGTTTACTGGTTACTTATCGACGTCCAGAAATATCCTAGTAGGTGAAATCTTTTCTGAAAAAGGAGCGAAAACTGATGAAACAGTATCTGTTCTATTTGAAATCGATATTGATCTATCACTACACAACATTACATTTGCTGATATTAGCCGTACTAGTGAATTTGCACCAGAAAAAGAAGTACTGTTTGATATCGATAGAACGGTTGAACTGGAAAGTTTAACATTTGACATTGCAAAAGATCGTTGGATTATTCAGCTAGCCACATCTAATTACGGTGCTGATTTAACACAAGTATTTATTGAATATCAAAATGAAGAATCGTCGCCATTCAACAATAATGTCAGCTCAATATTTAACTGTTCTCTGTCAAGTCCTATTCATTAGAACAGAGACGTGCGACTCGAAGTAGAGCTTCGTATGTTGTACTGCAATGAATATGACGAGGGCGAATAAGGCAAAATATATGGTTCGGCTGCCGGTTTATGGGAGACTACAGTCGTCACTGGCCCATGATTATTTTGAGCGAATACATCGAGAAATTCCACAGTCGAACCAGACCACTAAGATCGACTAATTCGAATGTTTGCGTCTTTCTTGTCTGCTTCATCCAGTAGAATAGTGATTTGATCGAGTGATTGATTGCTCGTCACGAATGCATCGTCGATATAGGTATTGTTTGGAGCAATAAAAATATAACGAAAACACTAGATACAAATAGCACTGACATACCGGCCATAGAGTTCATTGTGTGAACTCTGATGTTCGACTAATGGTCGATTACTTGCTCAAC